CCATGTGTTTTTTTATTTTAAAGTCACATTTTAATGTGTATAAATATAAACTTCTTGAAGCAGAAAACAGATTAAGGATGAGAGAATGATAAGGGCATGATGGTGAAACTGCTTCGAAAATGATCGTGGCCTGCTCACTTGAGCAGGGGAAGCCTAAACTTGACAAGACGCACTGTTATGGATTTCATATTCACGGTACACTGAAAAAAGGGATAATGCAAAATGAACTAAACATTCATGCTGAACGAGCATGTTTTCTAAAAAAAAACTCATTTAGAAAAAATAAATGCACATTGCACATTCCTGGTCACTTTAATTGTTACTTATGACACAGTTTGGCAGCTACAACATTAATCCATGTAAAAATGGAAAATGGAAATATATTTTCTGCCTTCGAGAGCATTTCTTAAATTAGTGTTAAATTAGTGTTCAGAACCATATGCGACTTCTTGGCTTATTTCAAGATGGCCTTGTCTAATTTGGTCAGAGAGAGATGGATCAGATCAGCTAACCAACTATGGTGGTTAGGGAGACACTCACCAGCTTGACTGGGCTAACTTTTTGTAACAAATAACTTTTTTTTAAATCATGGTCCTCCCTTATATATTGCACTTCTAGTTCTTTGAAAGGCTCAAACGTTGAGCCCTTTCACGCACTCTTCCTTCATTACCTCCTCTTGCTGGCCTTGACTCGGGAGGCCTGCCATATGAGACAGTGGGCTAAGAGAAGGGTTGAACTGTTGAGGAGGTAGACATTTGTGCTATCACAACCTCCTCCTGTAATAGTGGGTTCGTTGCATTGTTTTTGGGAACAAGATTAAAATGACCAATTACTGTCATTTTTAATTGGCATGATAATCTGTAAAATAAATTAGATTATTCTATAATATACCTGTGATTGAAAGAGGTGGGTGTCAGGAATAATATGTAACACTTTCCTTCTTTAATTTACAAAACCAATATCCATCATTTTATTCAATTAGTAGCGGGTTTTGCTCACTCCCTATCAGAATTAGCATCCACATCCAATGGAGGAAAATTAGCACAAGACATTAGGACAACCAACCCCCAAGTAAAAACAATTAACCACCTCCCTGTAATTTAAGGCTCCGATTAAAAAATAATTTTTTTCACAATTTTTATAGCAAATTGCATTTTTAAACCTTCATAGTTTCTGAATAGTAAAATGGAAATGAAGAGATGATGAGGAATAAAATCGATCACCTGTTAGGACAATGTGAGAAGATGGATGGACTCTCCATGGGAAATGCTGAAGTGCATGCCAGCTGGTAAGCATCTGTCATGGGCATCAACTCCCAGTTATGAGGATGACACTAAATAGATGGACCTTTCAAGAACATCCCGGAACTACATCAGTCACTTATTCCATCATCTTATCAGTCACTTATTCCATCAACCTATATATTAGATGCAATCCACATAATACAGTAGAATGTCTTAAGAGTATGCTTACATATGATTCACTGAATTGGCAGTCTGATTTTATTATTACACTATTAAATAGAAACATAGGCACAAAAGTTTCAATCGATCGCACAAATTGGATTTCTTCATGCACTTATTGGTGATGTGCATGACAGGATAGTCTAGTATCGTTGGAAGGCATGTACAAATTGATATGTAAAACGAAGATTAATGTCAGTATTCGACTCCACTGCTTAGAGAATAAAAAATGTTTTACGCTATTAAGGTGGACCGCTTAAAAAATTAGCTTATGATGCAGTTGCATCATATTTGCTTAGTTTGTTCGTGAAATATCATGTCTCATGCGCTCAGACCAGCTGACCAAATGTTTTTTGCGTAACTTGAAAAGTGTTTTGCTGGCAAATTATTGTTTTGACAGTTACACTAATATTTCAATGACCTGCACTAAATTGTATGTGCAAATATGTATGAATCAATGGCATTGCAATGCAAGGACAGGTAGAAATTACAATATCCTGTTTGAATAGTGATTGAATGCTGTATTTGTAATGCTATTTTATAGTGACAATTTCATTATTTATAATGCAGAAGGTTGATGTATCGTAAATAACTTCACAAGCAACATTAAATAAGGTAACAGTATAACATGTACTCGTTTAATACAAGACATAAGAGTTGTTTATAAGACAATGCAGTCAAAACATGACATCAAAATGTAACCGTTAGGATGTTGTGTATACAGGAAATAAAATTGCATATAGATTATGTAAAAAAAAGTACACACTATGAATGATGGTTTAAAAATAATCAACTTAAGGGTCAACAATAATAAACAAAACATCTATCGGAAATGCACAATATTGTAATTAGAGTAAAGTGGGAGGCATGGAATGAACAAAATTACTTCCACTGAGCAGACCTATGAGAGAAGGCAGATATTAGAGTGATAGGGTTGATGAAACTTACACCAGTTTAAGTACATACAGTATGATGAAACTTACACCAGTTTAAGTACATACAGTACGCTAGTTAAAAGCCACAAATGCCCTCGCAACAGAAGTGTTGATGCACAGGTACATGCCAGAGGTGTAATGTTAAACTCTAGGACATAGCAGCAGTATCCTACATCCCCCAACGCTTGAAGATAAAGAGATGTAGGCTAGACATGGTAGGTTTACGAGGTGTAAGCGATGGTGTCAGCAGGGGAAGAGATGCTGTGTTTTCAGTGATGGGTGAAAGTAAAATTTAACAGATCACGGAGAGAAAGTGAATTCGGTATCAAGGACAACACCAATATGGTGAACTGGTACAATAAGACTGATGGTCGTGTTATGGATATATGACATTGATAGTAATGAGTGATGATAAAGCGGTCTTAGGTGATGTATGTATGTACTGGATGTTGAACTTCTTTTGCACCATACGTAACCAACCATGCTAATCGGAGGTGATGCAGGACAGAAAGTGAACTCAAGTGTGTCCCACACAACATTAATAAATACGGTGAACTTTTATAACAAGACGTAAGGTAAGGTTATAGGTTTTTCTTACGCAAGTATTATTTTTACCAAAGAACACACTGAAGCAAAGACATCAACGACACGGTAATACACAGCGTGTATAAGTCAACAGAGTGAAACTACGACTTGCACAATAACACACCTGCCTACGCTTAAGGGGTCGGTGGTACCAAACAACACTTCTTTCAGACAAGGGGTCTCAGCTGCAATACACACCTCGTGGGTTCATTAACTTGACATCCAACACGTAGTAATAATGATGGAAAGGCTGCCGTAGTTCACTCGAGATTATTCACGTAAATTGCAGCGATCACCGCCGTCACAAGCTTCAATGACCTGACCGCCGAATACTTGACAAGAACCGGAGCCATGATCCCACAGGCCGGGAAACGCGGACTCAGATTCCACCGATATTACTCCCATCGACTTGCCGCCTCGCTCTTATTTGCGACGGGGCCACCCGTCTGTAAAATGGTAACAATGGGCTTGCATTCCGACAAATATGCACACAAGAGATTAAATAAAGAGCACAGGGAGGTAAAGAAGGATCGCTCCGAGATTGTAACGCAATCATTAACGAAAGCCCTTCGAGATACCATTGGCACGATTCGGAAAACACAGTTCAATGAATCCATTATTTAACTGTTTTGGTTGCACGGTCTCGTTTATCGTCACTATAATAACAACGGAAATGTACATCCCTTTGCCAATCCACTGCTGGACGAAGGCCTTCCCAAGACATGTTGTCCGCGGGGTTTTATTTGACCGCACTTTCTCACGCTGGGGTGTGTGCCCACCACTGATTGTTGTTATTCGCCGTGTCCAGGCATCGTAACTTTCTGACCCGCCCCAACTGGACATCTGTGAAAAAGAGCTTTATAGCTCATCGGATTCCTCCAGTATACATATTCGAACTCAGGCCGCCTAGTTCATACCGCTTTACGCTAACCACCGTTTACCTCAGTGCTAATAACCAGTTTTAAAGCTAATTTAGACCGCGAGTATCTTATTCAAGGGATACCTGGGTTCGAAATGCGTCTGCGCTGTATCATTTGTACTGTTTGTTGTCTGCACAGAACTGCCAACCTCACGAATCGACGCAATGTGACGTTGACAATCTATTTTAATCGATACGTCGCGGTGTGCTTGGCAAGCGGCCGAACCCGCCCGAACTCGAGCCGCGGGCCCCATTTGGGGACCAGAGCCGCCTCATCACTCATCATCCCGACTCAACCGTGGCCACGCACATCCACAGCAGCAGCATCCTCCTCCCCCTCCACCCAAGGTCGTCAGCTCACGCAGGTGAACCTACACACACAATTCTCCACGCACCGTATTTTTTTTTTCAAACATCATCAGCAGCTTTGTCCACTCCACTGCTGGATGAAAGCAGCATTCAAGTCACCGCCACCTCTCATGATACTGCGATGGTAATAATCCACACAGCGTCCGCGCACCACCTGATTTCACGGCTCCATCTCCTGCTCGGTTGTACATCCACTGGAACGAGTTTCACCGACAAATATCAAACGAAAACAATTCGGGCCCAATAGCCGACGAGTCTTCACGATGTTTTTCAACATCAAACTGACGAGGAATTTCCGACTTCTAAAAGAGAGACTCATCGGCCCACACCACCGGTGATGAAGCCCACGGGCTGACCACCACTGCCTTGCTGCTGATGAGCCCCAGAGAAGTCAAAACCCCAAGCTGCCATGGTGCTCGCTACCGAAAACGCACAGAGCCGGGAGGGCCCAATATAGCAGCCTCTGATGGGAAGCTCAATGTTATTTTTGAAACCAAAAGCTTCGCCTGTGAAGCAGAGCCTCGCGTAATCGCGTCATTACGGCAGCGTTTACCTCGAGCAACGACAGTGACCGTGCTTTAACAATTACTGTATTTATTTTAACAAAAAATAGAGAATTCTGGCGATAACACAGCGCGGAGCGATGGAGCGGGCGGACCTACGGGCGGCGGGGGGGGGGGGTGTCTCCGCGGCCACTCCACACACACAGCTGCGAGGCACTTCACTTACGTGGTCGTCGTTGTTGCCGGCTGCGATTGGTACCGCCGCCGCCGTCGTCGGCGAAGCTCGCGGTAGTTGTGCGAGACGACCGCCGTTGTTATTGTTCGCCTGACGCCTCAGCGCCGCCGAGCGCTCGCCACTCGCTCCGACATGACGACCCAGCCACTTCCGATCCGCGTGACGTCACCGCGGACTTCCGGAAGACGCCACGCCCACTATAGGCCACGCCCATCGTCGTGGAGACACGCCCCCTAAGTCGAGCAAACCACGCCCCCTGTGACTGAGAGCCTTTCGCAAGGCGGACTGAATCAAAGTCATATTCTTCTTGGTTCTTTCGGTAAAGTCACGTAGAATGGAAATAATAAAATAATAAAAATGTAACATAATAAAATAATTCCATTCTACGTTACTTTACCTAAAGAACCAAGAAGATGAATCTCTGCAGTCACGAAAGCTTTAAATCGAAATCAAAGTCATATTATTTCTATAATTTTTATTATTTATTTTTATTTTTTACCTACGTGACTTTACCGAAAAAACCTAAGAGTATGGACCTCACCCCGACAAACAAGTTGAAGGTACACCAATGGGTTCTCCCTTATCTCCAGTTGTAGCCAATGTTTTCATGGAAAATTTAGCGACAGATGCCATCCAGGTATCCACTCTACGTCCGTCCTTGTGAAAGAGGTACGTAGATGACACGTTCGTCATCTGGCCACATGGCCGACCAGCTCTGGACCAATTCCTCAACCACATCAATTCCATACACCCGGCCATCAAATTCACCATGGAGGTGGAAAAGGATGACAAGCTACCATTCTTGGATGTTTTAATAGAAAAGAGACCAGATGGCTCAATGGGACACTCTGTCTACAGAAAAGCCACCCATATGGATGCCTACCAACAAAGTGGTTTATCACGTGGCCATTTATAGCAGCCACATGCTCTAAACGCGTGACGTTGATTCTAAATGTGGAGGGGAAAACGGGGAGAGAGAGACACGCAAACTCCAAATATACAGCAGGCGTCAGGGTCGGAATCGATCCCACGACCGCCTGTAAACCAGGCGAGGTAGTTAACATCTCGCCACGGTGGCGCCCTACTGCTGTTCAAAGGCCTGATCATCATGCCCCTCCGTGTTGGTCACGGGGACGTTTTTTTTGTTCACCATACTCCACCACTCCGGTTCGTGTGGACTGGGAATAGGGGACTCAGCACTGCCTCTGATGTCAATCCTCTATAGTCAGGAAGTTTACTCGGGTGGCTGAATGTCGGCTTCAAAGCTCCCTTATGAAAAACTCATTAGCCAGTTTAAAAATAATAGAAAACACGAATCAATGATTCCATGTTACATCAACAAAAACATCAGTGTCTAACTATTGTTAAACATAGCTCAAATATCTCCGTTAACAGCCCTTTCCGTTCATTATATACAGATAAAAATAGAGGAAGTATGAACATCCTGGTTTAAAAGACCATAATTCATGTCCTGGCATCATGCTTTCTTTATTATTTCCCCACAGTATTTGACTCCGTTGACCACGAGTGTCTGGCATGTCGTCTAATGAATACCACCATCGTGCCTTGCCTGTAACCTATCGAAAATGACATTGTTGGTTAAATTAATCTATTACATTATGTGCCACATGGCTTAGTTGTAAGCCCTTTATTATTTATAATATGTGGCATATTCTCCATATGGGAGTAATTTACTCCAGAATTTACAGCCCTCTGTCAATCCACGGTTGGATGGAGTCCTCCCCACCCTGTGATAGTCGTCGGGGTTATTTTGACCATACTGCACCACCATGGTCAGTGCGGATTGGTGAATGATGGGGAGTATAGACGTTTGAATTTCGATTTAAAGCTTTCGTGACTGCAGGGATTCATCTTCTTGGTTCTTTCGGTAAAGTCACGTAGAAGGGAAGTAATAAAATAATAAAAATAAAACATAATAAAATGATTCTGACGACGTTTCGGCCACAACGCAAGCAGCCGTCTTCAGGTGGAGAACAGGTCTGACAAGTAGACAGAGTCTTCAGACTCCACCTGAAGACGGCTGCTTGCGTTGTGGCCGAAACGTCGTGATAATTATTTTATTATGTTTTATTTTATTATTTTATTACTTCCCTTCTACGTGACTTTACCGAAAGAACCAAGAAGAGGAGTATAGACGTGTATGAGCATGCACGTGCAGTGGCAGTACAACAATGGATCTTGTTTGCATTGCTCTCCGCTGCACCACAGCCGCTTATTGCGCCCGTTACGCATCGTGGCCGCCCATCCACCCACTATCCAGGCTCAACTTTTCTGAGCTTCTGATGCGAACAGATTATTTGGTAAGTATTTTTTTATCACACTAATTGTATCGTTTAAAATAGTGTATTCGCATGTTTGCCAAATGTAAAATGTATCATTTTTTTATCGATTCTAATTTGTAAATACAGCTGTTATTACAGTATTAGCACACAGATGTACTAATACAGATAGTCCTCGAGTTACGATGGTCCGACAACGATATTTCGATCTGACGATGGCGATAGCGATACGACGGACAGAATCTTGGTGAGTACAGTACAATATGATATGTTACGATACGTTCATTGCATGTATGATACGTAGCTTCAGCGATTTCATTTTAGGGTTACCATGATACGATACGCTCAATGCATGTTAACAGTTTTTATAGCAGATAGGATTGTTTCCTGAAAAAAACTTTCTATGAAATTGCAGTTCATATAGGTAGGCTAAGAATTTACCTTATTTTTTTACTTTACATTTTACTGTGCAATACAGTATTGTAATTAATAAATACAAACAGTATATAGTTTATACAGTACGCTACTGTAAATTGCTCTGTTTTGCTAAATTATCACCATTCTTTAAGACTCCTAGGTAGGCTATGCCATCTTCGACTTATGATATTTTTGACTTACGATGGGGTCGTCGTAACGCATCTCCATCGTAAGTAGAGGACTACCTGTATTTGTGACGTAAGTTATTTGAGCATAAGTTGTTTTTGAAAGCAGCATTAACTGTCGAGGGCAAGCGTTCTTGTAAGTCAATTCCGCCCCTTAGTGGCCAACTGATGTCACAACACATCACAACAAAAAGCCGCCGTCACCAGCTGACGTCAACGCAAAATCGTAGTCACATTTCATTACTGATGTGTGTCGTGCTGAAATGAAAAATGCGTTGCAGTAATCGGGGTTTAGTTTTTTTTTTAAACCGTGTTGAAAATACTGTTTTGATTTCAAAATAATAATTACTTGTCGGTGGAGATTATGAACAAACAATACACATAAACTCATTCGAAGATTACGAATCGGGAAACCAGTTTAGCAACTAATCTCGTTTCAATGCGACGAAGCATATCGACATACAATGCGCATCAACAACACAAGAGGAGATTACGAATTAACGTTCATCACGTCCCTCTTAGTCACCAGGCCTTATTTGAGCACGAGCAAAACGTCGGCTGCATCCACGCTGCATCCACACCGCCTGGAGATACGGGCGAGAAAGGCTCTCCCGGGAGAGCAGCTTTTAAGAGCGTATCTCAAGAATAATTAATGCAAGTGCTTGCATTGTGCAAATATCATCAAAATCATCATCAGCCACGGTCAATCCGCTGCTAGATGAAGGCCTTCGCAAGCCGCTGCCATCGGTCACGATCCTGCGGTGCGGCTCTTGAACGCGAGCGTATGTCACGCCGTCGTTAGTTTTGACAATTGGCCATCATCGCTTCTGACCACGACGTCTCCTCCCCGAGCCGACCACTTTGCTTTTCTTCACGTTTCGATGTAAAGCTTTCGTGACTGCAGGGATTCATGTTCTTGGATCTTTCGGTAAAGTCACGTAGAAGGGAAATAATACAATTAAAACATAATAAAATCCTCACGACGTTACGGCCACAACATAAGCAGCCGTCCTCAGGTGAAGAACAGAGCTGTCGGAAAGACAGCATCCTAATGATAATTTTATTTATGTTTAATTTTTATTATTTTATTATTTCCTTTCTACGTGACTTTACCGAAAGATCCAAGAATATTTTCTTCACGTGTTTGAATGTTTTGTGTTGCCTCTCATCTGCACATATCCTCGGCTTCCTTGTGTTCTCGACATAATTCCAAACTTGCTTGCTTCGTGTCTTGTTCAGTTTTTTATTGCGCAAATACAGCGCACGACGCTCTTGTATTTGGTTCAATGTTGTATTGGGGAAGGGGGAGAATACAATCCACGTAGAAAACCACGTGCTAAGTGCAATTTGCTGGATTGTTACTGCAATGTAGCACTTTTTGTGTGTGGAAATAACGAGAAGAGCCCAGACATCCCCTACAGACAGCGGTGGATCTTGAGGCTGTGCCAGGACGTGAGGTTTAGCAAATCATAATCCTGTACAGTAATTCCAGTATAATAATACACGCTTCATAACTATACCGAACATTCAAAGCCAGCAACACACAAAAACTCCTCCCTCCCACTCTGATCTGTTATGGAAGCTCATAGTTAATTAATTTTAAATATAATTTCCATTAGGCCACGGCGTGTGCATCAGGATCCACCACGGTTCGTTAAGCGGCGCATTTACCGCACCTTCCAAGCGCCTCGTTTGTTGTGCTTCTTTGGCGATAGACATTTACAATGATTAAAACTTTTTTTTATTTGTTTTTACCAGGTAAGGTCTACTGAGCTATATAGCTATTTATCTCAGAAGCGAACTGGCCACGACTCATAGGCCAACGAAGTGGCTTATCGTGTGTAAATGTATAGAAGCCAAATACTCAAAAGGCATGTTTATAAATGCGGAAGGAAAAACCGGGGAACCCGGGAAAAAATCCATGCGACCACGGAGAGAACATGAAAACTCCAAATATACAGCAGCAGGCGTCAGGGTCGGGATCGAACGACCTCCTGTATACTAGGCGAGGGAGTTAACATCTCGCCATGACGAGATAACGATCGAGATTAATCGGGCAAGGGAAGACGGGAATACGGCTCTTCACCTTATTTCCCCAAACATTGGACACATGTGTACATTCCTATTCAACAAACTGCACGTTTGAAGATGGCCAGTGAACCTGTTTCACTTACAAAGGTCATCTGATGTTAGTCGGAGCAATGATAATAATAATAATTTACATCTGTAAGGCGCATTTCATCCATAGATCCCAATGCGCCCCGTGTATGTAA